ATTTGATATGCTGGAGGGTTTGGAAAGTGCAGTAGATAAATTATTTTGTTTTCATAATAAGTGATATTTTTTCATATTTTTTACCAAACTTTGACTATAAACAATTTCATTGTGTCTTAATTGTTTCAGTTTTTCAGAAAGGTTTGAAAAGTATTTCTCTCAAGCCCCCCCCCCCAAAAAAATCTTCCACTCACATAGCCCTAGAATTTTGAATGAATGATCTACTACTTTGAGGTCAAACATTTTAAATCATCAAGGTGTATTTTCTGAACTTGTGTACCAACATCTTTTACCTGCGACACCTTTTTTTCTTGGTGTTGAGCATGTAAATTTTTTATTTAACCAACCCCCTCCCACCCCCATGATTTCAAATGGTCCCTTATAAGTTCACAAAATCTGCAAAACGTTAACTATGACTGCACTGTTGGTTCATATTTGTAGTAGCAATTCAATATACAGACCACATGCAATGATTTTTCTGACCTTCAGAAAAACTAAATTTGATTGTTTTGCTAGAAAATAAATTAAAGCGGGGGTGTCGTCATCTGCACATGCGTCAGATGGCCATAACGTGTCGTTGTTTAAAAACAAGCATCTACCCATGAGCCTTTGCATTTTTAGTGTGTGTTGTTATCGTCGCTTGAGACTCAATTCCCGTGCGTGTGCAGGTGACGACCCTCCCGCTTTAAGAAATTGTTATGCATTGCACTTTCCTGAATAACCTTCAGGTATGTGCAAACCGGTTCACTGATAGCAATTATAGAATTTATGATGACTTTGGTGTAATCGTCTCAGGATCCCTGCAATAACTTTATTGGTAAAACATTTTGCAACTTTTGTGCTGATATACCAAACTGAAATATACATTATCCATGTGCTACTATCGGATATATGTACCAGGTAATAGAAAGAATACAAAAAGACATGCACGTACAAACACCTGAACACAGGTTCAGTGTGAGACAGATTTACAATAAAGAAAAAAACATGCTTGTTCCTTCTTCTATCTTATCAAATGCTGTCAAAACTATATAATGCATTTTATCTTTCTTTGTAATGCCTATTGTTTCTTGCGTCTAAGAAATCTGAAATTCCTCACCTTTTGGCTTTTTCCAACTGAACGGCACATTTGTACTTCTTTTCTGTTTGCTCACAAAACAAGCCCAGCATCTTAACTGAGTGGTACACCATTCTTCTTCCTCAGGGACAGTGCAGATGACACAAGGGCAGTCATATTGTTAAAAGTTATGTCTTGTTTGAAATGCAAAGGTGAGATACTAATGAGGCATCCCATGCCACAAACATGTTTTGACAATACATGTTTATTCAGAGTCTTTATCCCAGAAGGATTCCAGTTTGTCTTCTCTCTCTCTCTCTGTCTCTATATATATATATTTTTTTTTTTTTTCAAACAAAACTTTTTTCAGTAAATAAGGTGAAATCTATTTAAAGCTTAGGTTAAATTGGCTTAGGGTCGCCTAGGTGTCATTGAACAGTTGAACTGATAGGAATCAAGCCATAACAAACATGTTTACCAGGTAGCTTGTATTTTTATCTCTTGGGTCGAGGCTATCAACTCAAGGTTTCGGAGAAGTACATGACTTAAAATTTTGACCACAATGTTAGTTTTATTGCATTTCTATCACGTTTTGATTCATTTAAATAAATCTAACCGTTTCTGAAGGCTCTACTCACGTCCCAATAAAAATGAAAATAATTCTTGTGATATCCTGATAAGGAAATAGGCCTAACAATATATTTGTTGCTGATCTGTGCACTCTGTTTGAATGATGCATGTTGGGAAGGGGGTATAAGTATGGAGCTATTTTATTTTAGTAAACTTTGCAGCAAACATTACTTTTAAGAACAATAACAAATTTGTTTGGTCAAATACAAAGGCAATAAAAAAGGTCATCACCTTTCATTTAATCGGGCATATTTTTGTTATTACCATATTTGCTATATATTATTATATATGAACAAAAAAATTCAATAATTATCCCCCTAGCAACACCTCATTCATTATGTCAGGATGTGCTACTAATAGAGCAAATACGGTATATACTGAAGACGGTTAAAGCTTGGAAATGTGCTGAATACTTTTTTATCCAAAACAGACAATATTAATTGGCAACAGGAACAAGTACTGTAAACACATTAATTATTCACTGTGTTTTAATTTCGCTATTTGCACTGAGAACACAAATAACAATAGAACTCTATGTTTTTTTACCACATTCAGGGAAATTGTTCAAAATAGTGAAATAAATACTAGTGGTTTCACAGTACTACTTTCTCCCTGCCAGAATAAAAAACAGTTTCCAAATTTTCATGAGCTTTTTTTTTTTCTTCACATTTTTCAATCCATGTCCAAATGACTTTTATGGAACCTAATGAACATGCACACAGGGACAGGAAGTAAATTTATCAAACAGCATCTAGACCAAACAAATTATTTTCAAGGAATTTGTGTGCAGTTATCAAAAATATATGGCATGCTACATGACTTATCACCATGTGTTTTAGTAAGACTTAGTTATTTTGACTGGACATTAAAAATAGCTTGTGTCCATTCAATGTTGGAGAAAAATGCATTTTCACACATCAGACACACACATTTGCATTCAAAGTACAACTAAATTTAAAATTATTTCCATTCTTTATTTTAAATGAAAATATGATAATTAGTACAATTTCTCTTGTGCAGCAAATCAACTGCAGTTTTGATAATTACAAAAATCTTGTAGGAAAATATCTCTTTAAGAAAAATATTTAAGTGAAAAAATGGCAGAGGTGTCCTCGACAATGATTGAATGTCTGCAAAAAAAGAACAGACTCTTCCCCAAATATCTTGCAGTCTATACGATATACATATATATAACTTTTTCATGAACAATTCAAATAAAATGTACTTTATAAGTACATTGACTTCCAAAAAAAGACAGACAAAACAGTTACATGAAAAAAGTCTTAAAAATAAATACATGAGTTTACAATTTAATTCATTGCATAACTAGGACTGTTTATAAAACCTAACTGTGTCCTAGAAGTTGTAAAAATTTGAGTCATAAATTGATTGTGTTTGGTCTTTAATATTGTGCTTATGTGAAACACTATACAAAAGCATAATTGGTTGAAATAGCTGGCACCAGCAAAATTATATACGTGTGCTTTAGCCTGTCTTTCGGCTATTTGTCATCTTGCTTATGTAAAGCTTGCAATATTGAAGAGAGCATTCAGATAAAAAACAACTAAATATGAAAATATGTGCATTTATGCTATAACCAACATTAAAAAATGCTCAAATTTACTTTTAGGTAAAGAAAACTTAAATTTTTTTATTTATTCTTTTTTTTTTTTTAATTAATATACAATTTAAGTACTGTCAAAGTTATACACAAGCATTGCACCTAAATTTGGCATTTTTTTGAAGCGGCAAAATGTAGGATAAAAATGTTCAGTAGAGAACATTTTCCTCACTCGCAGTTTGTAAACAACTCAACAGTCATAAATTTGTTTTTGTCATGAACACTTTTTTCATAAATCGCAGACTTTGAGTGTGTCAGAGCGAAAGGATAGACATCAAAATATCTCAAAGAATAGACTTGATATGGAAAAAATATTAGTCAAAGATATTGAAGTTTTTGATATGTCGTTTGCATTGCATCTCTTGTGAAGGAGATTTTGCAATGGTCAATAAGTTTTATAGTCACATGCTTTGCACCCCTTGATCCACAAAATGGTTTAGTCCAATTTGTTATTATGGGGTATTATGGATTGTCTTATAGCTGCCGCAAGTTTGGTTTACTTGTCTTGATGGCGTCTCATGTGTAGCGACAAATGGTCCGAGCGGGAAAAACACCTCTCGCAGACCTTACACTTGAAAGGTTTGGCACCTGTATGCTTGCGAAAGTGCCTGGTCAGCTCATCGGATCTTGCAAACCGCCACTGACAACCATTCCATGAACATTTGTATGGTTTCTCACCCGTGTGTATTCTCTGGTGTGCCTTTAGATGAGAGCTTTTCGTGTAGACTTTAATACAACCTGCAGATCGTGAGAAAAAAAAAGACAATCTCAATAACATGTACTTTGTGCAAGGAGACCAAACAAAACAAAACCACTTTTCTATTATCACCATTCACCATGGCTACCTGTGTACATCAAAAGCGGGGGCATTGCGCCTTAGAGGTCAATCGAGGACCTTCAAGACAGGTGAATTGTTAAGCAACAAATACCGAAGATGGCTCGTATTGTTTTCTTGTCACTGCTATTGAGAAACTTGAATATAACGCTGAATTGCTGTTAAATACTGGTCGATTCACAGCAATCAGGAATTGTGTAGCACTCAATCCCACTACTAATAGGGTTGAGAGTGGAAGCAGGGATCACAGAAACTTGTGTGTGTGAATTCCCAGGGTAGGGGGTAAATAAGTTCAAGCCATGTTAATCAGAGTGCAAACTAAAATCACTCCAGGGATTGTGGGAATTACTTGATTCATGCTGACTAGAGACATATTTCATTCCATAGCTATGCTATGAGATTTCTCAACCATAACCTGTTTCTACCCACTCACTGTAATCAGATACATGTAATATCCGCCTTTCAGAGAGTGTGTCATCCCCAGTTATAGCTCATTTTTCCCTTCCAATTGAATTTTTTTCCAGATTGTCAGATTTTAGACAAACTATCCATATAATACGCAACCCAATTCGCAAATCTACACATTTTCAGGAAGGAATAAAATAAAATCTCACTATCAAAATCAAAATATAATTTTGCAGGGAGTACTAATGGCAGCGAGCCAAATAAGCAAAGTGCAGAATTGAGAACAAATTATATCAATCACATGATATTTTAAAAAGTAAGCCAATAGGCTTTTAGAAATCGTCTAATTTCTAAAATAAACTATCTGCCTTCAAGGCTCGGCCATGCATTCGTATTTTTGTCTTGCGTGTGAATGACTCTATGTACAAGTGCTTTTATGAACTCCTTGATAATCCAAGCCATGTCTCTAAACACAAGCTAAAGAATTCTTTTCAGTGGAACCTGGCCAATTCAAACAAGATTGTGTAGGGGGGGGGGTGATTATTGTATGCCTTGCATCATATGGAATTGCTGCTAACTAGCTGAAAGTTTAAAATCATTGCTAATCAACAGAATCCATTAACTTCGAGGGGGGGGGGGCTCTCTCTCTCTCTGCTATGATGAATTTAATCTGCTTGACTGAAGGGCATTTTAGCGCTTTCCCCATTGAAACCAGAGACAGACGTGTAAAGCCTGGCTAGCTAAAGACAATACTGTCAGTTTATCAGTTCACCTGCTGTTGTTTACCTGCAAACTCCTGAAACAACTGGCGGAATGCCTTGAGTATGAAAACAAACCAGAAAAAAAACACACTTTGGAATTGTTTAAGCTGAGGTAGCACCACTCATACGTAACTTGTAAAAGAATTCAACTTGCTGGCGAGGTCAGGGACCTACAACAACCAGTACCGGCAGGAGTTCGCATAGTTGACTGTGGGAACTTACCACCAATAAGAAAACCATTGCAGTTATCTAAGTGTGGGAATGCAAGATATTACCCAATAGCTGCACACACACAAAAAAAAAAAAAAAATCAGCAAAACTGCCACTGGGAAGGTTGTATTTTTTTGTAAAGCTAGCTAAAGTTAATACGAAACAAGATCATCCCTCAAGACCCGATTTAGACAATACTGGGTTTCCTTTCTGAAGGCTGAGCTCATTAAATTTGGTTTTAAAGGTCATTCAATATCCCTAGAGGGGAACTGACATAAAAGGCCTATCAAATATAAAGGATTTTTTTTAAGACCAGTCTCTTCAAAAGAGGATGTGTTGAACTGGTTTATTTATGCGCTACAAGTAGTTAGTAATTACAGGCAATACCAGCAGAAAGCTATTCACCTCTATGCTATTATACATTATAACTATTGCACAAGGACAACTATCAAATTTTAAAACTGTTTTCACACAAGAAACAGTTTCCATCTCGCAGCATGTTCCCACACGATGATTTTTGAAACTACCGGTACATTGCATTAAGACATTAGTTTGAAAAAAGGGCAAAATATGCGTCAAATTGAAAGTTGTTTCCAGTATTTGTTAATAGACTTACCGGGATAATCGCAGAAGTGTATTCGTCGTTTTTCCAATTCTGGATTGTTTTTTCGGTTGTACCTTACTGTGTTCTGGGATGAGCATGGCACAGTATTTCCACCTTGTGCAACGAACATGGGATAAGGTGGCGGTGGTCGGAACTGAGCCTCATAATTCCCAACCATTTGTTCACCCGGTGATCCTGGCTGCGAGTTTGGCGGTGTTGGCGGCATACAAGCGTTCAGCGAATTCAAATACGGCTGTACCGAGGTTACGTATGTGTAGTTTGATGATGTTTGAAAGTTTTGAAGCGTTGTGTACTGACAACTGCTAACAGGTTGGGGTTCCTTCTTGATGACAACACCTGCGGTCGACGTCGTCATGTGACAGGAAGGGGAAGGATAATCCAAAGGCTCGCTCTTTACAACAACTTTTTGCAAATTTGATAATGTCACTGGTGTTGAATTTGAATTAACTGTGTTATTGGTACTGTGATTATTCCAATAAAGCTGACTGAGTTTAGGATCTTTACTGTCCACGTTATTGGCATTATTGTCCACGTTTTGACTTTGTTTATAAAGGGAATTTCCTGGTATTACTAGATTAAAGTTGAGGCTGACATTTACTTGTGCCTTGGGTTGTTGATCTTCAAAAAAATCATCCACAACTGATGAACTTTCTCTTCTAATCTTTTTGTTATTATTGAAAAATGTTGTCGTAGGTGCTGTTGGTGTGGCTGGTTCCCTCTTCCACAAATACCTGTCAAGCTCAGCACGAGTCTGTTATAAACGATACAAATTAATAATAATTAAATTAATGGCAACAAAGAAAAACAAATTGCTTGCTATAAAAGTTTTCTTGGCACTCGCACCTACTACACCACACATGCAATGTACCCGAGACCACCATGGAGCTTAAAAAAGGTCCAAACAAAATCATGCTTTGCAGGCAAACACCAATTTAATTATGCCCCCCCCTCCAAATATTTTTTTTAGCTCCACAGTACTATGTATGTCTACATACATCTCGCATGTAACGGAAATGAACCACACTTTATATACATCAATGAAACCTCAGTCCCTCTGTGACAGTGAGGCAATTGTAAATGTGTTTACATTTACAAAATGTTTGGGGACAACAAACCAACGGACACAGGCATTAGTAGTTGGGTTAGATATTAAGATAGCACATACGATAAATACAGTCTAGCAATGCAGTGACTGGTACTGACTGGATTACTACATCGGTATGCTCAGGGTCACTCATGCGTCTTTTATTTCAAAGCAGAAAGCATTCACACAACTGAACGATTGTTTCACTTCTTTCGCTTGGCAGGACCCTAAGTACATGGACTAACATGACACCCCGATTAATTACATAGCTAATCCGTACACATGTAGTTTATATATTTCTTTCTAGCTAAGGTCGATGACTCTTGATCAAGTTTTACTTGTTTTCATACATATCCAGTGAATTTCTGATATTGCAATCCATTTTTCTTAGAAAGGCATTCACTTTGCTACGACATATGGCGCACTGTTGAAAAAAAATACGCGGGAATTCCCTGATTTGATTCAACCCAAATTAAAACAATCAATAGAACAGGAAATGTACCAAAATGTATCCATATACAACCATCAACACTTATTGTGTGACGTCGTTTCATTGATGTGTTATTTATTGTTGCCAGCGAACCAGTACTTCCCAGTTCAAACTCATGACTCGGGGGTTGTTCGTCAGTTCGAGTGTTGCTACATAATGGGATTACGTAGCTGTAATGGATGCGTGTCGGAATGCCTGTCAGTTAGCGGTGACACATCGAAGTGTATCGCGGGAAAATAGTCACCATAAACTAAAAAACACACAAGACTCTTGTGTGGCCATGTAAAGTACCATTAAAACTCGTATATCAAAATCGAAGACTGTTTAAAAAAATTCAAGGCAACAGGTCATGGTTACGGACCAGTTGACACGTGTTTAACACGTCGGTCGTTCATCATCAAAACTGTTGACAACTTATATACGTCGTGAAACGAACTACAACATATACTTGGCATGGAGATATAACGATAATATATAGGATAAAACTATAAATATGGTAATATGGTATGGTAATAATTTTGTAATGACTAATTTTAAATATATATATAATATTAAGACGACTGAGAAATTCTGCGGAAAAAAAAAAAAAAAAAAAAAACTTACCTGTTGCCACTCTTCAGGGTCCATTGGGGTATCTGGTACTAGAAACACGGGTTCTTGGGAAGAGGAATCCAAGTCCGTAATCACGGGTTCCTCGTTGAATAACGATATTTCAGGGATAGCGCTGAGAGTCATTGCCATCCTGCTAGCCCAGAGTGCACTACGCTGGTATAAGTTTATAAACTTCGTTTCTGCTTTCTGAACTTGATATGCTCACGATATCACTCACAAGTTATGAATGAGTTTGGTAAAATGGGTCTAAGCTCTTTTCAGCTACGGCCCACGACATTCCATTCCCAAATAAGGAAGCTAATTAGAATAACAAATTACTTACGTGGGCGGGTAACTTCCATAAAAGAGAGATAAGCGACCTTTACCCATTCATCATGTCAAATCGTCATTCAGTATATCCACCAATCAACGGACAGGATATCACCTTTTGACCCGGAACCGACCAATGAGAAAAGTTGAGTATTTACAGGCGACAGGGCTATGGAAACATTGAGGTTTTGTTGTGGATACCTGACGTCAAATGGAGATTATTATCTTTTTGTTACCTATTGTCGGCAACATCAAACCGAAACGAGTTTTGAAGTGAACAGATTCGATGCGTTCTAGAAAAAGTCGTACAAACACGCATACTTACTTGCAGCGGGTTGAGTAATATGTTTCAACGAGATGACAAACGTCACATTTACCAATCGACCCGCAGCCCCGACTTCAGCGGCAGTAAAACAGACATACGCGCGTTTTCGCGCAAAAGTAAATAAATTCGCGAAGTCGCCTGCAGTGGCGTAAGTTGACAGTCAAGTCCCAAATTGCAAACCACATTGTACGTACGTACCAACCGCTATGTCAATACTTTCACGTGAAAGTTTGGGGTGAATGTACTGAAACGGAACCAGTACCTCCGGGTTTTATTCGGTCAGTGCATCCAGTGAAAAGCATTGGTTTTCCTTCCTCGTTCTACGCACTATAGCATTATCAGACAACCTTCGACTTTGTACGGTAAACTTGTAGACGGAGGGTTACAGTAAATTTGATTCATGTTTATTAAGGTGGAAAGGAAGAGATGGTGTACGTCTGTTCTCTGTCCGAAAGGAATTGTTTCAGTAGGTCTACTCCTACTAGTGGTGTTTATGATCTGCTCGTGAATGTACAAAAACATGGTCGGATCTAACTCGTACTGAACTGTGTGGGGGACAAAAAACAAAACACTGCGTTGAATAACAATCTGTGTTTCTATTTCCGTTTTTAATACAGTTTTTGTATATAAATGTTCCGACGTGTTTTTGTGTGTGCTTTCTGATTATCACAAGAAATACTATAAAGATCAAAAAATAATAATAAAGTATACATAAGCTACTCTCATAATATGAAATATTAAGTAATTAGTAAGTCCCCCTCTTGGTGCCCGTCTCGGTGTCCTGGTTTTAAGCAAACGTTCAAAGTTCAAGGTCATTGAATTAGTGTCTTACACGGCCGTGAATACTGGTACCTGTAAAATGAGTTCCAGTATTACGCATTCGATACACTATCGCGTCGGAACGCTGCGACATACGCCGATTGAACCGGAAGTGGAACGGAAGTTACCTCGCAACCACACTTGTGTTTATGATATATTTATTTCGCCCACGTTTATTTACTCAACATCAAATCATAATACAGTACATAGTTGGTGATTGCGTTTACCAAAGGCGCCACGGTGTCTGTCGAAATTTCAATAAAATAATCAATGATTCGCATTTATTGATACAAAAACTCAAAGTCATACCAAAGGTACTAGAAAATATATATTTTTCTAATTTCCAGTGTCGACGTTCATACCAACTACTAGTATTACAAAGTTTGAACCAAGTTTATTTCTACGTATACCAAGTACTGTAGAATACTTTATTTTAGCTGGAATTGATTTTCGCTGAAAAGACATTTTTAATGCTTTGTATGTAATTTATTTTCACTGATTTTTGACAAGTTGAATGTAAAATATAGGAAAAAGGTATATTCGCTGGATTTTATTTTCATTGAAACATTCCTTCGGCGAAAATTAATTCCAAGCTAAAATAAAGTATTCTACAGTACTAGTATGACAACTTTTTAACCAAGTAAATTTTTGATAGACAATATACTGTATACTCAACGCATATCTTACAAATACACTTGAATAAACTGTATTTCCAAATGCTGTTCATTTGGTGATGCTCTTACTTCATTCGGCCAGGAGATCCCTCGGACAAGTTCTCAAGTTATTTGATTTTTTCTCTCCAAATTTATGAATTTCGAACATGGTCCTTTGTTTCATATTACGTTCGACAGCCTGGACGTTCTACACAAAACCATAAAACAAATACTGCCAATAGTATAGTTTGTTCGTAACATGTTTTTATTGCAATCAAATTTATTTTTACTTTTGCATCCTCATGTCGCGAGTAATCGTTTTAAATATCTATATATACTGCAATTTAGTTTAATCATCAGTTTTCAGTAATAGTTTCAATAAAAGTTTTTTTTTTTTACAGTACAACTCTGGTCTTTCTGACGTGGTGGTATTTTTGTCCAAGAAGTGCAATGCACTCGCCTGATACTAGTACCCTTCAACGCCCTCCTTTCAATTGAAAGGAAAAGTTCGCTCCATTACATTAATCATCATTCTTCACTGACAGTCACAAGTACACCCTCAAATATGCTCACCTTTAGCCTTTTAAGATTCATCGAATTACTGTACATTCAACAAAAGGATAACCCTTTGTGGCCTTGAAGCGCCCGCTATCACAATAGTGGGCGGAGGTCGGTCACAGATGAATGTTTTCAGTGATCATTGGAGTTGGCGTCAGTTACCGTTTTCTAAAGCGTTTTTTTTTTCTTAAGTCCAGATATTTTTCATGAAGGTGAAATTGTTCTTGTTTTCGTGACTTCTCGATACACAGCAGCTTGAACTATAACATTATTGCCAGCAGTTGAGTGGTCACGGCGAATCTTTGTTTGTGATGTCTTGTTTGATTGTTTTTTTATTGTTTTGTCAGGATCCTGTAAATTTGCCTTTTGATTTCGCATCAAATAAAATCAAATACAAACACAAATACGAATCAATTTCACTATATGCTGCATTTGGTGACATGAACATTTCACTATATACATATATAATGAATTAACCATTAACCATTGATAATTGCGTTATATCTTTTACGTCATGAAGATATCTGACATGAAGCTAACGCGTTTCCGCTGCTTTATTAATATATTCATGCTGGATCTCCATCAATATGTTTTGTCTGTAATTTTTTCGTAAATTCTGCTGTTTACGCTATAATAGGGGGAGGGGTGGAAGTAAGTCTCGATTCGTATCGTCCCCGACACTCCTGCTATACGACGTGCGACCGGACCGACCGCGTGGCGTGTTCGTGATATGTGCGTGACAGGCCGTCAGTTTTATCTTTCCATTTACAACCATTCCAATTCACGTGCAGGGACAGATAGCACCTGCAAGCTGAATACTCTACAGTAAATCAGCCAGCGATCATGATACTATGCTCAGGTATATTGATGCCTACTTACTAAATACTGTAAAATTGCTAATTTTCACTGAGTTTAAATTCACTGTTTTATCATTTAGATAATATGTTCTATGCTAAATTGTACATATTCCCTGGGTTTTAATTTGACGCATTTTTCAGTTAGCGAAATTAAAACCCAGTGAATATGTAATTAACTCTTTTACAGTATACGGTATGGGAAGCGACGAGTGAAATTGAAAAAAAGTCTTCAAACATATGCCCAAATTCAATTGTCTTGAAACCAAGTTTCGGCTCAAAACCCTTTGGGGAGCCACGAAATTAGATACAAAACGTCATGTACAGATTTTGTGGGACAGTTGGAATCATTCTGCCCATTCATGTCCTCAGCCCTTCTTGATTTTCAAAGGTTAGACTTCACTTATTTGAGGCAGTTAAAACATCTAACGATAACGTGACTAGGTTAAACAGTAATTCGAGAAACTTGCACGAGGCCACTGTTTACCATGCGGAGTAAGGTTTCTAGTCGAGTAGAAATACGGTTTATAATTAAATGTTGTTTCTGAGTTAGGAGTTTCTCATTTGAAACTAAGGAGCTGGAATGCTATTACATAATACAGTCGTAGAACTGCTTTCTCTTCGTCCACAGCAATTTTTCACCACCCGGAATGAACCTTTCGTTCATATTTCCAATACTGACCCACCAGACATTGAACAACCAACGTTATACTAGTTTACTCCATGAATACGTTCAGTTCTCCCCACTACAGACTACAAGTTCTTTTCAGACTAGCATTTAAAAATAAACGTCGAATAGTTCCCGACAGAGATGGAACAAAAGTTCTGCATGAATGCCAACATTGTTTGATGAGGGAGGTCCTAAGAATGGAATAAGTTGAGTGAAAAGTCTTAATGACTCATCACAGAAGACCTCGGATTCTTCCACACAATGCCGTTAAACGTTTTACCACTGTTTCCACCTTGTCGTGCGTAATTGTGTGATTGGGGAAGCATAATCGAATATTTTGTGAATGCTACCAAATTCTGCATCATTTACCAATTATCTATGAGCGACTATTACTGTTGCCAGCAACATATAATTAATAACAGCTTCGTGCATATCGGTCGGGACTTGGCGCCAAAATGGCTCCACTAAATGACATGTGGAGACAGGCAAATGATGAAAATTGACGGTAACCAATGTACTGCGCATGCGTCACTCCCAAAAACTTTAGTTTTCCTTTGCGCGATTCCAAAGACTGCACTAAGATGAACAATTTACTTATGTTCACACAGGAGCGAAAAGAATAATCTCCGTTTATTAATGAAGATAAAAACCGAGATCTCATCCATGGTTTATTTAGGTTGCTACCTGAATATTTTGAGCGGACACCTTTAATCCCAGTCGCCCACTCATGACACGCGACTTCAATTGGCTTAACCTTTTGACCACATCCGTTTGGTGAACACTCTGACATTTATAGTACAGCCATTTTCCCCATTAGTTACATGGTTAAAATGCCAGCCCACTCCTGGTTAAATTGGGGAGATATTATTGGGTGTGTGTGTCGACGCCCAACCATGATAGCACAAACATGTATGCATCCATGACCATTGACAGTATACATCTAATTTAAATCAAGACAACCCATACCGTTAAAAGACGGCCTGCAAGTTGTAATCAAGCTATAAAATTTGTTTATACCCAGTATCTTATTTGTTTCTGTAAAAGTGGCAAATAATTTCTATTGTAAATCGTTTACGGTAGATTTTGCAAGTTGAATTTGTGGCGGTGTGTTTATTTTTAGCTGTCATGTTATTTTCGGGCAATTCTGACAAGTGCCGTGAACCATCGTGAAGAACGAAAAATATATATTTTCAAGAGATTAAATAAAGATTTTGTTAAATTCAGCCTTATTCCCTAAAATTGCATATTACATGTACCTTAAATCGTTTTACAATCTTTATTCTGTGAACCTTCTCTGGAATGAGTGTTGTGAATGAGAACTCCCGGACCCGTCAAACCCACAGTGATGTAATTGAGATCTCCCGAACCCGTCAAACCCACAGTGATGTAATTGAGAACTCCCGGACCCGTCAAACCCACAGTGATGTAATTGAGAACTCCCGAACCCGTCAAACCCACAGTGATGTAATTGAGATCTCCTGGACCCGTCAAACCCACAGTGATGTAATTGAGATCTCCTGGACCCGTCAAAACCACAGTGTTGTGAATGAGCACTGCCTGGACCTGTCAAACCCACAGTGATGGGAATGAAGAATTCTCGGACCTGTCCAACCCGCAGTGGTGAATGAGTACTGCCTGGACCCGTCCAACCCAGTGGTGAATGAGTAATGCCTGAACCCGTCAAACCCACAGTGATGGGAATGAGAACTCCCGGACCCGTCAAACCCACAGTGATGGGAATGAGAACTCCTGGACCCGTCAAACCCACAGTGATGGAAATGAGAACTCCCGAACCCGTCAAACCAACAGTGATGGAAATGAGAACTCCTGGACCCGTCAAACCCACAGTGATGGAAATGAGAACTCCTGGACCCATCAAACCCACAGTGATGGAAATGAGAACTCCCAAACCCATCAAACCCACAGCGGTAGGGATGAGATCTCCCGGGCTCTCTCCACTCAAAGTGATGGGAATGAGAACTCCTGGACCCGTCAAACCCACAGTGATGTAATTGAGATCTCCCGGACCCGTCAAACCCACAGTGTTGTGAATGAGCACTGCCTGGACCTGTCAAACCCACAGTGATGGGAATGAAGAATTCTCGGACCTGTCCAACCCGCAGTGGTGAATGAGTACTGCCTGGACCCATCCAACCCAGTTGTGAATGAGTACTGCCTGGACCCGTCAAACCTACAGTGATGGGAATGAGAACTCCCGGACCCGTCTAACCCACAGTGATGGGAATGAGAACTCCTGGACCCGTCTAACCCACAGTGATGGAAATGAGAACTCCCGAACCCGTCAAACCCACAGCGGTGGGGATGAGATCTCCCGGGCTCTCTCCACTCAAAGTGATGGGAATGAGAACTCCTGGACCCGTCAAACCCACAGTGATGGAAATGAGAACTCCCGAACCCGTCAAACCCACAGTGATGGAAATGAGAACTCCTGGACCCGTCAAACCCACAGTGATGGAAATAAGAACTCCTGGACCCGTCAAACCCCCAGTGATGGAAATGAGAACTCTCGAACCCGTCAAACCCACAGCGGTAGGGATGAGATCTCCCGGGCTCTCTCCACTCAAAGTGATGGGAATGAGAACTCCTGGACCCGTCAAACCCACAGTGATGGGAATGAGAACTCCCGGACCCGTCAAACCCACCGTCGTGGGAATGAGAACTCCCGAACCCGGCAAACCCACAGTGATGTGAATGAGAACTCCCGAACCCTTCAAACCCACAGCGGTAGGGATGAGATCTTCCGGGCTCTTTCCACTCAAAGTGATGGGAATGAGAGCTCCCAGACCCGTCAAACCCACAGTGATGTGAATGAGAACCCCTGGACCCTTCCAACCTACGGCGGTAGGGATTAGATCTCTAGGGCCCTCTCCATCCGAAGTGATGGGAATGAGAACTCTCGGACACGTCAAACTTGGAGGACTCGTCTAGACTCACCTCAGTTGTCTGTCGGAGGTACATCTAGGTAGGTAATTCAGTCCACCATAACTATTAGGCAGCATATACGTACAATGAATACCATCTATATTTGAGTATTTATAGCGTCTTTCGTGACTTTGGCACTATGAACAATTTACATGACCTTGTATTTGTAATGCGTTTGTACTTATACGTGCTTATTCCGGAATGAAGCTTTCATGGGGTTTGGGGTAAGTGTTGGTGTAGTACTTGGTATTCTTCGATGAACTCAGGTTACCGACTCCTGGTGTCCCCTGTTTAACCTATGGATTAAAACTCCCGTAAAGGGTGTATACACTCAGAGTCTAAAAAGACTATGATATAGTAGAGTATACATACATGTACCACATTAAATCATCTGCCCGATTGCAACTATTACATTTTTACAGATGCCCCAAATCGTCACCTGGTGGCCGGGAAACAAACAAACTCCCACTGTGTTCCGAGTTTCAGCAGCTAGTTATAGTTTGACTGATACATATTTTAATATTGCCCCGATTTGATTAGTGTGTTGTCCTGTGCTGGAGATTTATAAAGATTGCAAACTAGAGCGCGAGAGTAATTTTAAAATATTGGGTACTAGTACTATAAATAACGTCCACTTTGATATACTGTATAACACATTGAAATAGCTACATGCCATTTTAGCGAATTTGACTCAATACATGAATTAACTGAATCTTAATTTAGCTAAAGTGTCAACAATCTCATTGTGAGAATATACTTTATTCTAATTAGCGACATTTTAATTTAGCGAAATTGTGGATTAGCTAAATCAGCTAAAATACCATGCTAGCTAAAAAGACATGTTTTACAGTACTTCGGCTGATGCCCAGTACTTTATACCACAGTCCCTCTATAATATCACAAATGCCACCACTTGAAATGGTTTAACGCTTCAATTTAAACTGTATAATAATTAGGTTATAAAATATAGTTCACGTACATGTTATGATACAGTACAAACATTATGCTAATTATACATTAGTATGTCCACCATATTTTGATATTGACGATTGGAAATCCGACATGCTTTCGCTTCTCAAAATGAGGTTAATTTCTGAATCTTTATTCTGTTTCTGTGAGCGTTGTCATAACTGTGATTATCGTATCTATTTGTTAAATCTAATTACCAGGTGATTAACTTCCGCTTTTATCTGGAAGTCTGGGATTTCATCGGATGAAATCCAGGTGTTGCGTTCTCATAAGTGTCTGTATTGCATTTCTGAGGGATGGGCCAATGTATCTGTTGGGGAATCCAGCAGGAGTGTTTTCATTTTACCTATTTTAAATGATGTATTTGCTGTTTGTCGGTAGCATTGTAGGGGTATAGGACATGTATATGAATTCCAGCAGCCTTAACTTTGTTACGTAATACTTATTTCATCGTTTTTGTTGTGTTCGAACACAGTGACCAATAATTAGGTTTGTTATGTATTCGACCGTACTGTTCTCTAGTAGGTCTATGGTTCATGGGTCATTGGTCGGAGATTGAGGGCAAAACATATTAACGTGTTTTCGTAGAACTTGTAGTATTTAGCATTTCTAAACAAATGTTGGTGCAGCATTTTGTATTTTTCTTGTTAAATTTAGACTAAAATGGGCATAATTTCCCTGCTTGATCAACAGTTCTAAAACAGTATGCAAACGGTGGAGGATTATTTCATTAACATTTATAATTCTCATAAATATGTATAAACAGCACTCAAAAATATCACACTACAGCGAACTGAATTGACAAAACACGTCGTTTCGGGCAAGCACTCATTATATGGGCTCTTTGCTGGTACAAATGTTCTGAATGTTACAATCACGTCGGCGTAAAAGTAGAAACCACAGTAATATTTTCGCGACGTGACCGATGTACGTCATTAAATGAGACGTAAAGAGAGAGTCAAACAAACAAAAACAACAAGCCATTGTAAACAAACTCGTAAAATATACGTACTCAAAATGTGGGCGTCAGCAAACCACTGAAAATAGACATCGTCAAGTCATGGGAAAACAACAAGTTTACAGACTCGCACGTGTACCCACCCAACCATGATCACATGGATTCCTTGTCAAGTAAATGGTAGATATAAGTTAGTAATGTGCAATAATAACAGAGTCCAACACTGAGCGAGAAACTTTTTTGTACGCGACTGCAAGAAAAATAGCAACATATTGTAACATTATTTGGCCTGTTTCATGAATAATAATTTAATTTTTATAGTATGTGTTACACGGCGTGTACATTATTCTACCATGTAACATTAGCATATTCATAGACTTACGGGATGGGAAAAATGACAATGACCATATACCAGCGATCGTCATATTGTGAATCGTGTCTAGTATCTTAATCGTTTATTCGTTGCCATCATACGCGAACAACATGTCATTTATTTTAACATACTTACGAAAACACATATTGTAATAGATAACTTGCTGAGTGTGTTTGGTTTTTCATCATCATCATCATCATCATCATCATCATCATCATCATCATCATCATCATCATCATCATCATCATCATAAATGCTAATAGGATGTGACAAAGCATTATGGGATCGAAATTGCGTCTCATTGAACGCAGCCAAGCCAACAATGATGATATCTTAGGTATCAATATTTTTTAACACAAATTAATCCACATCAATAATTGTTATCCGCACATCGTGGTCCAAGCTTCAAACTCTAACGGACCATAAATCAAGGTTAGGTTAAATATTGTGACAGGAAAAGGCTTTAAATGAGGTTAAACGGTGGCGTATGGAGCATAATTCCAGACACCAAATACAATGGATATATACTTACTAAATAAATGTGTTGGTAAACAATTAGGACATGCTGGGAGGTTGATTGACGATCCGCTCCGCTCAAAAAAATTAAATGGTAGGACGAATTTTTTCTCCGAATTTGACCATCTAACTAGAGTGAAGGTATGACCTGTCTGTCAAGTTTGACCAATATTGTCCCAGTACCCTCCCCCCATAAAAACACAGACAAGCTAAAAAGCCGTTTGTGGCGAAAAGTTACTTTAAATTCGAGGTCAATTTTCTCGGTAATGAAAAAAGATACAAAAAATTATATCTTTTTTGGTTGTTGCCATGACAACGGCGGGCCAGGATTTTATCACCCAACTAGAGCGAAGGTTTGAACGAAAGATCAATCCTAGCGGAGCGAATCGACAACAAGTTACTAACGCAGCGATATCTCAGAAGAGACATACCAGTAAATGTGTGGCCAAGAACATCCTTTTTTCCCATCCCAAATCTGTGGTTCTAACGTGACTCCACTTAGAAATGTATCCTTTAGGAATAAAATTAGTATTATAAACGGTAACCTTGGAGTTATAATAATAAATGTATTTATATCCGGGTGTTAATCGCACTCCGATATGAGCAAACGCTCTCCATTTGTTTTTATCTCCATGTCGTAACTCGGTTGCCCCAAGCTATATCTGTACACGGTCACTCAGAAACATTAAAGTGACCAAGAAGAAAACAACAGGAGCAGCCTTTATATCACATTCTAATCCAAATCGACCACTGTTGTAACAATAGCTGGAGCTACGCGTCAATTTTTTCTTCTTCTTTTTTTAATTACGTTTGATGTAAGTACTGAGTACTTTTTATTTTGCGACATTGAAGTTGGAGATGACTCTCATTTTGCCACCATCAACTCTAAACCCGATCAACACAAAGGGATATATGGTGGCCTTGGCATATACAGCATAACTGTATTTCCTGTGAACCCTTGTCATTCCGTGTATAGGGTCACGTAGTCTGGATAACGTTGGCTTGGTTTAACTTTTCAAAAGTTTCCATTGCTGGTAAGTTTAATTCAATAACGAAATAAAAAAAACACGATATAATATAGAAATATTTAGCAATAGCAAGCTGAATCATAACGCTGTGATTGGGTGCATTGTCAAGAATTGAGAATGAGTGTGTTTTAAGATAATATCAAATCTTAATTCCACATATTAGTTATATTTAACTTTATGCTGTGTACTTCTGGGTCAGAGGTATGGAAATAGAATTATTTATTATTATTATTATTATTACTATGAATTCTTAAAAAAAAGAACAACACACCTCCTCTACAACACATTTCCGATGAAGATCGGGAAACAATATAGATATGACGGGGATAATAATGGTTCATTTGTACAATGCACGTTAAATAGATAGTCCGTGATGAAGACGAGGTTCGTACCGTCACGTGACCATTTAAACGCACACAGTGCTGAATATGGATAATATGTTTCGAACGATATATTATCCTTAGGGAGAATTAATGAGCAAAGTTTGTACTCTGGATCAGCTTGAAGATGGGTATCATTTATCCCCCATGTGTACACTGCAATAGTTCACATAAATTGATAATAGAACGCACTGAATTCAAAAATACAAAAAGGCATGCAGGATACGTTACACATTGGTATTGAGTTCTTTTTATTGAATGCAGGTATTTGTGAACTGATGCGGCATATAGATTGACGCTGTTCGTAAAAATAAAACATATTTTTCTCTGGACAGATTGTACTTGAAGTAAACTTGCTATGATCTATTTCTTAGATCAGATTAACCGAATGAACTAATTGCTATGGTTATTTCGTTACAAATACGGTAAATACACAAACCTCCTATGCAAATTTGAAGATGCCGTTACGCGAATAGTTCACGAATGTTGGTATTATTGCCCAACACTTTTATTTTTGCTGTTGTTCGTTTTACAACTTGAACTTG